TGATTTTTTGTCACGTCGAAAATTATTCATATCTTTTAAAAAAGCTGGGTCAACATAGCTTATGATGCCAAAGTCAGGTTCTGAATGAGTTTCATCGGTAGAAAGTTTCGAATATCCTAAATCCGAAATCTTAATCTGTCCTTTATGCACGAGTATATTATTATGATTCTATAAATCAATATAAAAAGTAATTACATGTATAAGTAATAAATTAATAAATTTTCTGTAAGTTTGAATAGATATATTCACTAAATCTCGATGAATAATTCCTTCATTATGTATACATTTTATTCCTTTTGCAAGTTGCTTAAAGAGATAGAGCTTCTCAATTTCGTAAAATTTGCTTCGAAATACTCTTTAAGAGTTCCACCATCAGCATACTGTAAAACTAGCATACATTTTCCCGAACTATGCTCTGTGTGTAGATGTAAATAAAATCCTATTTACTGTAGAAATTTTATTTTACCTTTAGTAATTCCATAAAATCGAATAATATTCGAGTTGTGATTGATCTTGATCAAGACTTTCAACTATAACGATAAGAAAGAAGTTTTATAAATTATAAGTTATATATCAAAAACAAATATAAATATAAATATTAAATCAAGTACTTCTTTAATAAATTATATACAAGAATTCTCTCTGCTTTGTCCTTTTTTTAATGTAAAGGCATTTCATGGCGAACGTTTTTCAATTTCCTATAATCGGCCCTTAACGCTAACCTGTAACAATACATGTACACTGCCTATGATAAATCAATCATTTAAGCTAAAAAAAAACGTAATGGTAACTAAAATTACGGAATTTATATAATCTATCAGTATCAATTAATCTATCAATTGATAGGTACACGGTACATGGCTATTTGTATACATGTACTTACCTAACAAAACACACGCTCTTACAATCACATATTCCAAAATGTCTTCCTCCACAGGAACACCAACACGAAATCAACAGTCTATTGCATCAACTTCTTCAAGTCTATATTCCACCAGCTATAGTCTATCCAAAGAAACATCATTAACACCACATCGTCCAACTACTGCAACAAGTAATAATGACTTTAGTATTAATAATCGACCTGCCACCAGCTCGTCCACAATAAAGAGACAAGGCACAAACACTTCTGAAGTGTCAACAACTTCCGACCAAACTATTCATTCGAAACGTGGACGACCACAGACTTCTGTTTCTACCCGCGATGGCGGTGGTGGTGGCATTGGCGAAAATTCGTTCATTGTTGCTGTCATTGAGGGACGAGGTAAATGTCAAGTTTTCTCTGTTATTTAATACATGAACTTGTTTTTATATTTTATTTTGAGTAGGGGTTGCAAGTGAAGTTGGAATGTGTTTTATTGATTTAAAGACTAGCGAGTGTATACTTTCTCAGGTAACAACATTTTGATTTTTGATTATATATTATTATTAAAAATCGTATACTTTTTCGTTTCAAATATTTATTTTGGATTTTTATAAAGATTTCCGATTCTCAAACGTACGTTAAAACATTGCATAAAATGAATTTATACGAGCCAGCAGAGGTCCGAAAAAATTATATTTCTCGAATTTTGATATTATATTCATTCATGTTCGTATTTATGAATCTTATTTTTTCGAATCAGATTCTATTATCAACTACAGCATTTGAGCCGGCAAAATCAAAACTCTGTAAAATTTTCGAAGAAAATATGCAGTCTGCAATAGTGACGCCTATTGGGCGAAAGTATTTTAATGATGTTGTTGGTTGGTAAACTACTCTTTGGATTTTTTCTTGTAAGAATTAAAAGTTTTAAAATCAATTTATCATTTGATTATGAACTATTAGGTATGAATTACATTAAGCAGGTAATAATCATTAATAGAATTGAAATTTATGTTTCGTTATCATGAGTTTACAAAGTAATGTACATGTAATTATTTTTTTTCGCTAGTATGGTATCGAAGAAGACTCTGCAGTTCTAATACTTGGTCTCATGTCAAAGTTGAGTCAAAAACGAAAACTGTGTGAAACTTCTTGAAATTCTAGCGTACTTATTTAACTAAATATTCTGATTAGATTTTATTGTCTCGCCGCGGCTGCAGCTGTTCTAAAGTAAATAGTTTATTATGATAGCATCACTTGCAAAGTAGTATAATCTTTCGGATTTAATTAACTATGATATTTTCGTTTTATTGTTTTTTTAGATATATTGAGAGCACACAAAATATCTTTTTCACGGATCATTCTATTCAGTTTAAGTATCAAGGATGTGAAGGTGACGATTTGAATGAAAAAGATTAATGAATTAACAGTATTCGGCTTATTGAAAATATTGCCTTGCTTCTTTTTAGGAACGATGATGATAGGTATACAGTATATTTTAACAGCGATATATAGTGACGATACTTTTCAAAAGATAAAATCGATTTTTTTTGTAATTTTAGATTGTGCCTCAGCACGAAACTTAGAATTGATAACTAATATCACAAACCCTCGTAGTAAACATTCGCTTTATGGTAATTATTGTTAATACCTTTTTTGAAAAATTTGTCTATAATTTTTCTTACCACTATTCTTATTGCAAATATAGGTGTATTGAACTATACTAGGACACCAATGGGAGGCAGGATTTTTTTGCGTTTTCGTAATTTAAAACAAAACAGAAAATAACTCTATTTGACAATTTTTTACATACCATTGTTTTTCATTACGTTACATCCAGCACGATTACTGCGAACTAATATTTTACAACCATTGACTGGTTGGTAGCACCTTTTTGATTCAATATCATCAAAAAAATTATTAAAACGTTTAACGTTATTAGATGTTGCCATTATTAATACGAGATTAGATTCTTTAGAAGGTATCCAACTTCCAACTTCTGTTGTTTTTGTCTGATATTGAAAATTATTCTTTATATTGACCATGTTTTTTTATTTCTATTAGAATTAATCGAAAATGAGGTATCTGAATAAAACCAGTTTATTATATACTTTATAATCTATAAATTAAACTGTTTACGATACATAGGAGAAATTTTTCTCAATACAATCCGGTAAGAAAGAATATTTAATTCATTTCTTTATTGAAAATACATTCGGAAGCTGTTTGTTTCGGTGACTTTTATGAAATATTTAACTGATAACTCTTTACTTTTACTTTTGTAGCGCTGAGACCATTTCAAGATATCGATTGCCTAATAACAGCGGTAATATATTTTTTAATGCTCATGCATATAAAATTAAAATTTTAATTTCAAATAATTTCCCAAAAAGTTGATCCAAGTTCCTCGTAAACCAACGATAAAACACGCCGAACAAAGCATCAATAACGTGATAATGTTGAAACACACATTGAAACTAATAGGAAAATTACGAGAATCTTTGGCTGGATGTGAGAATTCGTTGTTGGTTGCGATTTACAGGGTAATTTTGTTTTTGATTTATTATGTTCAATGCAATTATAGATAAATATGTTCGTTTTTAACAGTTACTCTCTGATCCACGACTCGAATCCTTTGAGGAAATCATCGATCAAGTGATTAATGAAGATGCTACGTACCAGAAAGGTGCTCTTGGATTAAGAAATCAACGATGTTATGCTGTTAAAGTAATCCCTCCTCCCAAGAAAATATGTTGCTACTTGATTGATTTTATTTAATATGCATTTTTTCCTAAGTAATTATTTTTTTCTTTACTCGAAGGCCGGGTTTAATGGATTATTGGATGTTGGTATGTTTCTGGATTTGGTTTTATTGGTTGTGAATCTGATAAAAATTCTGATTCTTTCGTAAAAATACTACTAATTTTAGCTCGACAAACTTATAAAGAAACAATAAACGACATTTATGAGCTCGTAAATGGCTATACTGGTAAAAAAAGTTATATTATTCGATTAACAAAATAATTAAAGTTATTGAAAAAAGTATCAATTTAATAGAGCAATACAAGGTCCCATTAAAAATACAGTTCAATCCCGCGACCGGATTTCACCTTTCGACATCTATCGGAAATCTTCAAGATCGAACACTTCCACTAGTCTTTATCAATGTGTCGAAAAAACGAAAAACACTTACTTTTACCACATTGGAACTTGTAAGCAATTTACAATACAACACTATGAACAATCAAAAACTGATTTGCTAATTTATCATTATCAAACAAATTAGATGAAAAAGAACACGAAAATCAATGATTCGTTGACCGAAGTTTACTTGATGTCTGACAAGTAAGAATGACGAGAACGATGATAATGATAGTCGAAAGTTATTTACGCGAATAAAAATCCTTGATAGGACAATCGAAGATTTAATATCCGAGATTCGAAAGAGTATCGGTGTTCTTTATAAGGCGTCCGAATCCATCGCGATGTTAGATATGTTGATTTCTTTTGCACATATGTGCACTATCTCAAATTATGGTATTTTCGTTTTTTTCTTTGGTTATTTAGACGAATGCTGTTTTTATTAGCATTAGCATTACAATAATAATTTATTATTTTATTGGAAGTACGACCAGAATTCACAGATACACTTGTTATTAAAGCAGGGCGGCATCCAATGCGCGAAGCACTTTACATTGAAGAATTTGTACCTAATGATACTTATGCTAGTAGTGCAAACAACTTTCAATTGATTACTGGGCCGAACATGAGTGGGAAAAGCACCTATCTACGACAAATCGCTCTGATTAGTATCATGTCACAGATTGGATCTTTGTATTTCATCATACTTAATACGTCGATAGTGTTTTTCTCTTGACATTCATCTGGTAATTTAATTGCATCTTCAATTGACATAGTGTTCCAGCTGAATACACGTCTTTTCGTATTGTGGATCAGGTAAACTTTTTCGCTTTTTCTTTTTACAAATTCTTTATTCTCAATTCAATATTTCTTGTTAAAAACTAGCTTTTTACGAGAATTTGTAATGATGATGATATGGAAAGCAACGCAAGTACGTTTATGATGGAAATGCGAGAAACTGGATATATATTACAGAATTTAACGGATGATAGTCTAGTGATTGTGGATGAACTCGGTCGAGGTTAGTATAATAGATGGTGATTCCCGTCAAAAAAATTTGAAATGACTGTTAGTTTATAATTTTGTAGGGACATCGACTCATGATGGATTAGGAATAACTCATGCCGTTTGTGAAGAATTTATTAAAACAAAAGTGGGTGGGTGCAAGTGAATGTGTGGGATCCGTATTTTATTCGATAAAAATTAATGGATACTCAAAAAAATCAAGGCATTTGTATTTTTTGCGACACATTTTCATGAATTAACGAGAAGCTTGACGGTGTTTCCTAATGTGGTCAATTTACATTTGGAAGTTGAGGTTTCTTTTCTCTTTTTGTTCTCTTATTTGGTTCTTGCTAATAAAACAGGCAACCAAATCGATAATTAATTGTTTCTTGAAAGATTGGTGCGCAAGTCGTTATGAAGTATATGTATAAAGTTTGTGACGGGCGTAATGAAGATGAACATTATGGTAATAATAAATAATTGATAAGAAATCATGTAATTCTAACTAATCTGTTAGAATTGCTACAGGATTAAAGTTTGGACAGATCGTTGGGTTGCCTGAAGATATCATTAGTAGAGCATCAGAGGTGTCGCATAAGGTTTGTTGTAATCATGCATGCATGTCTTTCGCTTCTTCTACAAATATTTTCTTTTCTATTAGTTGAAGGATATGATCGATGCTAGCAAAGAGAAATCGAGTTCAAATAAAATTAGGCAGCGTAGAAAAGCAATGTTTCAGGTATTTTATTCGATAGTTTTATCCAATGACTTCTAGAGATTGATTGCAATTATTAACACAAAATATAGTTGACCCAACACTTGCTACAAATCAAACGTTCCTCAAATCTCGATAAAGATGGGTTGTTAGGGTACCTTCAGATGGTGCAACAAGAGTTTGTGATGAGGATGGAGGAGTTAATGTGAAGATAATTTATTGATTGTATGGAAGAGTTAATTGTAATGGGTTGTATTTCTATTGCTATATATATACTATTCATACACACTCCTACAATAAATTAATATGACATGCTTTTACCTTTGGCTTTCATAATCTTATCTACATGATTAGGTAGACTTAAAATTAAATTGTGCAAGATTTCTAGATTGATACTCACCCATTTCTCTTGTAATGCACTAATTAATTCTTGTTTTGATATAGACTAAGATCTTTTTTTTTGAATTCAGTATTTGAAAATACTCATCAATTGACAATACTTAATTACAAATAATTGAAGACAAAGATCTTATCTGAATTTCATGATTCACTAATTGCTGGACATTTTGGAATTAATAAAACTTATAAAAACTTAATACAAAATTTCTATTAACTAAAAGTATTAGAAAATATATAGTTAATTGTAAGCAAAGTCAAAGAAATAAAAGTAATAATCAATTACTTGTTGGACTTTTACAATCACTTTCAATACCAAATCAACAATGAGAACAAGTTACTATAAAATTTATTATTCAGTTACCAGTTACTAAATATAAAAACATAATATTATAGTTATTTTTATTAATTAATTTTCAAAATTTACATATTTTTATTTAATATATACTACTGTCATAATATCTAATATTGCAAAATATTATTAATATTATTTTCAAGTTATATGAACTATCTTATATTATTATATTAAATAAAAATACAAAATTTATTAGTCACTTTTAAAAATTATTATTTGAATAAATACAGTGGCACTCAAAAGTAATGCATCACTAGGACAAAAAAATGAATTGTGGAATTTTTAGCAATATAGATGCCACAGGTAAATGAAACTTAGTTCATATATAGTTAAAAGCATAAATAAATAATATATATAATTTAAAGAATAAATGTAATATCACTTTGCTTAACTTGGACTTTATTACACCAAACTGATGATGCATTTCTTTTGATCATTTCCCCCCTCAAAACAAATATATAAATGGATAAAAAACACACAACAAAACAAAACATGTCTCCTATAAATAAAATACACTTATAAATTCACTCTTTTATCTCGTATAATTAAAATTATTATGGTACATATTCCTATCGAAAAAAGATCCCAAATTTATACTCTTCTTAAAGAAGGATATTCTTCCTGTTATATTGCAAATCATGAAAATATTTCCCAATCCTCTATTATAAGAATAAAGCAAAAAAAAGATATTCATAATACCTTTAAAGATTTACCAAAACCAGATCATCCTAGAATTTTTACTGGATGTGATGAATGAAATATTATACATCTAATTTCGAATGGTAGTTTTCCCATTGCAACGTCTATTCAAAAAAAATTAAAAACTAATAATAAAATTGATGTCAGCACAAGCATAATAAAGCTAACTTTACATCTTTCTTTACGAATTAAGCGAAAAAACCATATCTCAAAAAAACACATCAAATTCAACGTTTAAAATTTGCAAAAAAATATTATCATTGGACTATTAACAATTGGAGCAAAAAGTTATTTGGTTGGATGAATCAAAATTTATGATTTTTAATTCAGATGAACATGAATATTACTGGAAACTTGATGATGAACCTTTGAAAGAGCATCACATAAAATCTACAGTGAAATTTGGAGATGGGAATATAATAATTTGGGGTTGCTTTGGATTTTTTGGCGTTGGTAATATCGTACGCATTTATGATCATATAGATAAGAATTTATATCACAAAATCTTAAATAATGATCTTTTAGAAACAATCCAGTAGTATAAAATTAATAAAAATGATGTTGTTTTTCAATAAGACAATGATCTGAAACACACGGCAAAATCTATGTACGAATAGTTTGATGATAATGATATCTGTTTGCTCGATTGGCCTGCCCAATCACCTGATCATAATCCAATTGAGTATCTCTGAAACGAAATAGATCGTTATTTGAGAATGTCATCAACTGATATCCATACTCAAGATCAATTGTGAAATGCGATACAAAAAATTTGGATTGAAATTGATAACGCATTTTTAATGAAGCTAATTGAAAGTATGGAGGAACACATTCAAAATGTAATTAATGCGAAGGGTGGCTATACTAGGTGGTAATTAAAATTGGAAATTAAATTTTTATAAATTTATTTAGTTTAGTGAGTAATCTTGATTTTATTTTTATTTATCAAAATGATCAAAAGAAACAGATCACTTGATTTGGTGTAAAATGTGGTTTATTTTTTTTAAATGTACGATATGGAAAATAAATATGATATGATGTTTTGTTTATATATATGTATTATAATGAGTCTATTTATTTATTGATTGATATTGTATATGAAACGTTATTAAATCGTGAAATTTATTGTTCAGGTAATGCAATACTTTTGAGTGTCATTGTAGGTACAAAACTAGCTATATCAATTATTTTTCATTTATAATTAAATAAATAAATTAAAAGACTTAATCACATACTAGAAGAAATACTTTATATTTATATTACATATAAACAAGATCATTAAGATAATTATTTATTGCTGTTAAATTCACTTATAATAATTTTAAACAAGTTTTAACTGGATTTCACTATTTGAGTTAAATTGTAAATAATTATCACTTATACTTGTTATACTAGTGTTCTCATTAATTCAAAAATTATTAAAATTAATAAATTAATAAAGTAACATAACAGTGAAAGAACAAAGACTGAATGAATTACAATTAATGAGATTTACTAAAGATTTTAAAGATCTTCTGTAATAGCTTATATGCAAACTAACTAAATATAATCAATAAAGAGTAAAAATGAATAGAAAAATAAAGTGAAAAGATAAAAAGAATTAAAAGAATTAACAAATAGTTTCAAAGTAAATAACAGAACTTATTAAAGATGCCTAATAAAATAAAATAATAATTGGATTTATTGAGACTGCCAATTACAAAATATAAACAAAAATAACTAAAAATAACCAAACAGAACTTATTAAAATTGCCTAAAAGTAATAAAACAAAAGTAATAATGTCAATGACTTATTTAGAGTGAAGGATCATCCACTACTTGTAATTCCAAGATTTGAAGATAATTCACAAAAATAATAGTGTATTTACAAGTAAAATATTACTAG